AGGGGGTTGTACTGGATGGCCTTTGGGGGTCCCTTTCAAACTTATAAGTCTGTGAAATATAGTCGTTTAGAGAAACCAAGAGCACTAAGGCTTTGACTATGGGAGAAGGGGTTGGACCGGATGGTTTTTGAGGTCTCTTCCAACTCTAGGATTCTGATTGTCTCACTTGTTGACGGACGTGCTATCCCTGTTTCCTCAGTGGGAGGAAGGAGCAGCTGGCCTTTCTGTCTCTCTCCCCACTCAAAGCTGGCGTCCCCTCCACCCAACGGCTGAACTCCGCAAAGGTCAGACCGCAGCATAAAGTCGAGCAGCAAGCCACTCAAGCAAGGGGGCTGGCAGGGACGGAGGCGCAGACGACAAGCCTCTGATTAATGCAATTACAAACTCAACCGAGGTCTCTTTCTGCTTCAGTGCTTTGCTCAGCCCTCCCTCCGCCCCGCAGGCTGTTTCAAGGCTCTGGCAGAGCCAGCCAAGTCGGAGGATTTCCCCCACCGCCAATAAAGAACAGGGAAAAGAGGAAGCCACAAATAGCCAGGCTGCCGTTCAAACCGACTCCCCCGTTCTCTCACTGCACCCACACATGTAGGTTGCACAAAATAGACAAGGCAAGGCAAGGATGCCCTCGTTTCCACCTTACCTGCCGCTCCCAAGCCGATGTCCAAACTGCTCCTCTTGAACTCGCAGCGGCTCTGGGTCTCTGGCATTACGAGCTGCCGACTCTGGTGGAGGTTGGAGATGAAGGAAGTGAGTTCGTTGTCCCGGCTGCTGCGGAAGAAGAGACGAAAGGAGGGCGCTTAGGCATCTCAAGACACTTCACACCCTCTCTCGTTCGTTCTCTCTTTTACTCGATTGGGCAAAACCGATCTCCTCGGAAAAGGCAGCGAGACAAAACCAAACCTACACACCGAACTTCTCCTGAGGTTGTCTCGCTCTCATTGACTCATAAGCTTAGACTGCAAATCTATCCAGGGAAAGGATGCTCTGCAGGTCTTCCTTCTCTCCTTTGAATCATCTCCTAGCATTAGGTCAATATGAACACTGTTCCCACCCTAAATATCTCGGGGTCACCTTAGACCAAGAATGGGCAAACCCAGGTCTGGGGTCCAGATGTGACCCTTTGGGCTCTTTTCTCAGACCCTACTCTCTTTCCATTCTGTCCTTCCCTCCTTACCTCTTTCTCTCTCC